ACACCGATGATGAGCGTGTCGTCCGCATAGCAGACGACACGCACACCGGGTGGGAGGGGCCCGCACAGCACCGAGTTGTACCCCAGGTTCCACAGAAGTGGGCCCAATACGGACCCCTGGGGCACCCCTCGGCGGACCCTTCGTCGTACCATAGTACCCCCACAACGGGGGTACTCTACCTCTCTGTCCGCGAGATAATCCCGGATCACGGCCTGCAGATACGGGGACACTCCGTGTTCACGGAGCGCCCCGCGTATCGCATCCCAGCGGAGGGTGTTGAAGGCGTTGGCCACGTCAAGGCTCACGGCCAACGCCACCCGCCCCCGGGAGACCGCATCCTTTGTACAAACCCATACCTAACCGAGACCCATCACTAGCTGTATACGGACGACGGGCTAGTCGTGCGAATACGCGTCCAGTGTAACCGTAGCCTAAAGGAAATACAAACATTCAAAGTAAAAGTTACTTTTTCATGGAAAAAACGTTGAAAAAATCGATTTTTGATGTTTGCAACTATATTCGTCGTATCATACCAAAATAATTGCAAAAAATTGAGGACAATACTTATGATAATATGTCGTTACTGTAATTATACAAATCTAGTCGCTTTAAAACTTTAATAAGAGACCCGTATTTTTCAGAATTTTTTATTGTTTTTAATATTTTACGAAACTAGGATTCTCAACCAAAAAGACGGAAAGTATTCTGTAACACGTGGCCCGTAAGTACCACTTATCAAGTTTTTGACACAGTTTTTGCATGTCATTAAATAGGGAAAATAGAAGAAAAACCGATAATTTAAATTTTCCTTGTTATTCACCCTCCTGGTTGAGATAAAGAGTTGCAAACTGGAACAGATTGTTTTTTCTTGGTGACCTATCGAATGGTCCATTCCAAGTTCAATTCGATCTGAGGGCACTTTTCGCCCCTTTCTTCAGCTATACCCTTTTTTTAGGGCTTTTAGGGCATTATCGTTCTTTGATTCTCAATTGAAAGCATAATACGTTAATGTACCTTTCCAATGTTAAGAACTGCGACATAAATTTTTATAATTTATATTTCCTTCATCAATTGTTGGAATAGAATGTTGAGTTTATTATGCGTAGGGTACAAAGGATTGAAACAAAATTAATGGGCTGTGTTACAATTACAGAAATGTCTTGATAAGTGTAAGCCGGTTTGCCCACGATAAGTGTGAAGTCGTCATCCCCACCACTGAGGAAGGGGGCCGCGGAATCAGTCAAGTGTATAATTTTTTGCCCGGCGCGTCGCGGCGGCTTCCGGTGACTCCGCGGAACCGAGGCATTCACACTTATCAAGACATTTATGTATTTGCATTTAACCCAGAGCTAAATCTTTTATTTCTTATGGAATCGTGATGAATTGTTTTTCTAATCTATTTGCAAGGAAATACTGGATCAGTTCCCTGGTCGAATAATAACAGCAGAGCTACCGAAACTACCGCGACCGGAAATAGGTAAATTGATACCCAGTAAAGTGTTTGGGAAGCAAATAGTGTTCCATCCAGTGATGAAGGAAACCAAAGATACCATGCCTTTAATGGAAGTTATTCAACGTGTTCAGAGACATATTTTCGAGAATAGGATCCGTATTTCTGAATTTTACAAGGTTAAACTTTTCAACACATAATAATAATATTAATACTCATAATAATTTTGCTGTCTTTATTATGCATGCATTTTACATAATAGAATAAAAATATGTACTCTCACGAGCAAACTCGGCTTCAACTAGGGGAAAAAGCAATGTAGGGGTAGGGACCTTTTACCGCTTGATAAATTTATTTCAAATACTAAAAAAAATGTTATACCGAATGTTAATTTGTCATAAATTTCGGTACCTCCAAGACCAAGTGGCAGGAGGTCTTTCCCTTACATCACTTTTTCACCTAGCGGAAGCCGAGGTTGCACGCGAGGGTACCCTCACGAGCAAACTCGGCTTCCACTAGGGGAAAATGTGGCGTGGAAGAAGAACTTCCTACCACTTGGTATCGGGAATTACTGAAATTTGTATCAAATTAACATTCGGTTTAATATTTATTTCAGTACTTGAAATAAACTTACGAAGTGATAAGGAGACGTTTCTTCTGCGCCACTTTTCCCCTAGCGGAAGCCGAGTTTGCTCGTGGGTGTACGTAGACGTAGTATACAGATATGAATTATCGAAGAGTTATAGTGTTCTTAATGTTATACTTTCTGACATTTTTTCATAATGGTAATATCGTAGCCAATTATAAAACAAAATCGTCCATGTATGAGTACTTTTCATAAAACAATAATTGAACATACAGTGATGATGTGCACACTTATTACAGAATTTTTATTGAAATAGCAGAACAGTATACATGATTTTCTTTCGTTCATAAACTATCTGCGGTCATCTGAAGGATACTTAATACGTTAAGCGTGGAACCGATTTTGCTGGGCTTTCCGTTCAGGCGGCGTGCCGGCGTGGTGGTGATCACTCGACGAATGTTGGTTAGAGTATAAACAGAAAATAACACATATCGCGGTGACGATTTTATTTCACTTTTCGTTTGGGCTATGGCAGGGGTCGGAAACTGCGGCTCGCGAGTCAAGTGCGGCTCTTTGGGTACTTACATGCAGAGATGGGCAAACTCATTATGTAGATAAAAAGTTTCGAATAACGAATAAAAGATAAAAAAAGTATTTCGTCATTTTTAATTGTTTGAACGTGGAATTTTCAATTTTTATAATAAAATAGTACTTCTTTATAAATGAATTGACATTTGTCGAACAATTATTTAATCTCATTAACTGTTTAAAGCTCAGGACGACACCCTTAGATACTGCTGCTTTTCATTCTACATTATTCGAATAAAACTCTGCCCAACTCTGCTTACATGTGGCTCTGAAGTATCGTACAATTAAAAATGCAAATGCAATCAATGCGAACAATTTTTCTGAAATTGTTTCCTCATTTAATAAAGATATAATTAATATTATAACTTGTTATAATGTTACTTTAAATTTTCCTTATTTATAAAAATATATTTATAGTTCTCAAAATAATTTTAAAATTGTTGTAAGGGACAGGTTTGGCTCTTCCGTCTTAAAAGTTTTCCGATCCCTGGGCTATAGGAATGGCGCATAAACATTACACTTTTTGTAAGACGTGTAAAGCCAAACTATATCTTTGGTTAGAATGATTTAATAAACTTCATTAAAATTACAACATTTATTTTTTAACTTTGATACTGCCGGTCCCACGGACCGACGCCGCCCAAACGAAAAGTTCACTGTCAGTCCCCAGGGACTGACGCCGCGCTTAACGTGTTAACAGTGAATATATTATAGTGTACGTATAAAAAAATTTAGATGATCTTCGAATATATGAAAATGTGAGTTTGAGAAAGAAATGTTTTTCGTCACAATGTTCGCTCCTTCGAAATGAATACTCCCTATAAATAATTTGCGCACAGGTTGGCAGCAGATTCTGTTGTTGCCGCATTTGGCTTAGGTTTTGCAGACAAAACCTGCCTGACAGAATCGTGAAGCTGATTGATGGCAGGTTGTTTATACCAGATCCTGCATCAAATCTGTAGCCATTCTGGTTTCAAACGTTTATAACAGATATTGGACAAATTCTGTCTGTGCTAGCTTGGTTGACTGGGCTTTTTTACTTGCATATTTTCTTGTAGCATTAAACGCAACGCAAATATTTTATGTTATTCATCCTGTACATGTTTTTAGAATATTAAAGATATTGTAGAAAACAACTTAGTTTACTTATATATGTTTTTCTTGTATAATTTCGTTGCAAAGTATTAGAACGTTTGAAGTATAAACCGGAATCTTGTTATTACGCCGATAATGTTTGAGAACGTTAGATTGATTTTTTTTAATGGTTGAAGAAGGTATTATTTAGTAGTAATTGCCTTTTGTCAAAATTGGTCTGTCAGACTTTTTCATTTTGAACGATCATAATTGATCAAGGGGTGTACCTGTTTGTAAAGAATTATTATTCGTCTTATACTTAAAGCAAATACGAATAGTAGGTATTAAAGGTTAAATGATTGTGACTAGTGATTTGAACGATAATTGTAGCTTGTAGCTTGTTAGTCTAGTTTCATTTTAAATTTTACAAGCATTAAATTTCTGACTTGTCAATATAATGTTTCGAATCACTTGATATTTTTCGGATTTATAGTAGCTATTGGTCGACGTTCGTGAAGCTCACTTTCAACGTATGTATTATTTTCTTCCTTTAAATTTCTTTTTCAATCAAGAAACTGTAATGTGTGATGGTATTTGCTTAGACAACTGACAAAATTGAATAGAAGTTTTATTTGTGACTATGTACAGGTCTTGAAGAAATTTCACAGATATTAATATTTTCTTTAATGAGATAATGAATAATCACGTTTTCCGCAAAGGACACATGTATCTCTTATTCATTCATGATGACCCAGTATAAAAAATATACATATGCTGCTTTTGTATCAACAAAGGGTAAATTAAACAAAGACAGTGCAACGTTTTTCAATCATTACGATTGTAGGAACAAGATTTCGTTATATGGTAAAAGTTACGTCTAGACTAAGGGATACAGCTCCGATAACCTTGACCTTGAGATATGTTGTTAAGGACTCTCTTTCGAGTAACCTCCAAGAAATTTTAGCCGTTGCTCGATTTTGATTAAAAAGTAATTTTTCGGTTATTATTCATAACAGAAGACTCCTCATCAATTCCTATAATCTTGAAATATTGTTGCGTGGGCGCGACATGGCTTCCAAATAAATAAAGACAATGTTTATAAAAAGGAAGAATTATTTATACATGTGACACGTCTTTTCTGTTCTACGGTCATACCACGACTCTACGTTGTACCTGTTTTGGATATCGTTACTAAAACGACGCCGTTAATCTGAAGTCTCTCGCTTTAACATAATACAATACGTGTTACCTATCGGGTAACATGTAACAATATGTTATCCAGGTCAACATTCTGAACAAGTTTTCCCTGTAAAATGTATATGTATCCATCGCTCCGGCTTAGTTTCCGAGATATTTGGAAAAAACGGTCTCTAACCAAATGTGAATTACTTTTTTTCTTGAAATATCTCTAACCAACTCTGAAGCATTATACTGATCGGAGTTGATTAGAGACAGTTCAAGAAAAAAAGTAATTCAGAATTCGTTAAGGACAGTTGCCTCCCAATGCTTAAAATAACTGGTATATGTTGCAAATTTTGTTTGCAGATAATTTTTTTTTATAACAAACGAGCGACGGCTAAGTCTTTTTAGGGTTACTCAGAAGAGTGTTCCTAACAACGTTACCCACATAACTATTTGCATACAAATTTGAAGCGGATTGGCAGCAGATAGTGACGAAATCTGTCTGTAAATCTATAGTCATTTGTTTCTGCATTTGGCTTGGATTTTGCAGGCAGAGCCGACCTGATAGAATTATGAAGCAAATTGACCCCATAGTGTCATATTGTACGTACGAAAAATATAACAGTGCCGTTCTGGGATTAATGGTATAAGACATAAGACATAAGAGTATAAAATTTAGAAGTATATTTCATAAGCATATTAGAATTATTAATTATTTAGAAGTATATTTCATAAGCATAGCTCTTC